CTCATGCTCGCTCTCTCTCGCACGTGTGTGCTTCTTTTTTTATTTCATTGATCGCCCGTGGGAGAAACCTTTGCCTAACAGTGGGCGTAGTCAGGCTAATGACGATGACGACGACACTCGTGAGCTTTCAAGTGCGGAGCACTTTTTGAGGCCAGGCTGTCGCATATGCTCTGTTCATAAACTGTAGTCGTCATTTTGCGTAATGCTTGCAAAAAACCGTATAGCATAGCCAGCTGTAGCACACTGAGCGCGCGCTCGAACGAACGAGAAGACTTCTTTCTCTTGTCCTTCGAGTGCATCTCTCCTTTGTGTGTGTCCTTGTCGTGGTGTGCTATACCAGTGAAAATGATGAATCTCAACCGACTAGCCCGGCAACGTGCCTTAGCCCTGGAGAACTTTAGGAGCCCGCGCAGTCGTATGCTCTCGTTATTCGGTGTAGAGCAGGCAAAACCGCATATACAAATTAAAAAAAAAGAGAATCAAGTGAGAACTAATAAAAAGAGAGAATAATAAGGGGGGAAATATCGTCATAGTATGCGGAGTTGTACGTCCCATAACCACGACATGATTATGAGAGACTTCGTAATGGAGGGTACCGAAAAGAAATTTTGACCATCCAGCGTTGGTGAACGTGCACGGATCTCCACCATTTCGCTTCCTTCGAAATGCGACCGCCGCGGCTGGGCTCGAACCCGCGACCTTCCGGTAAGTAGCCGAGCGCCGTAAACACTGCTCCATTGCGGCAGACAGGAAAAAAAAACGATGGAAAGAATATAGAAATAATGAAGTAGAATTGAAGAGAAAAGACACAAAACTGGAAAAGAGAACAATAGGGAGAGAGGGGTGAGAAGATTGGGGAAACCGAAGAGAAAAAACAAATAATGGCTGTCCAGCTTGGCGCTTCATTCAGGCTTCGCACCAATATAGTGCGAAGCTGCTTTTGCCCTGTACTCTTCATGTATTCTTCAGGCTTTGCACCACTATAGTGCGAAGCTGCGTTTGCCCTGTTACCTTCATGTATTCTTCAAGCAATTTTTTTTTTCATTTGTAGGACAGCGCTCGTGCGGTTGCTTCCTCTTTTACTCTGTCTTCGTCGTGTTCTCGCTGCAACCAACATACGTAATAATGCTTTCGTGTGCTTAACGTCATAGAGTTTCCTAAGATTAACTAGAGGGGGCTGTGGCGCTGCGATAGTTCAGTGACCATGGGAACGATGGGTAGTATATTTTGCCCACTCTTCGTATTTGCGGGCGGTGAATCGCACTTGTGGCTTTGTTTATTGCCCTGTTTCGGTTTTGTTTCGAAGGAAAAAAAAACCAACTCTTTTGAACTTCGTGACCCGATTTCAAATGGTAAGTCTAAAAAGAATAAGTGGTGCATCGCAACCGCCGAACATTTGCTGATTTTAGCTTCGTGAAAAAACAGCTCCAAGCCACACGAAAACGCACGGAGCCAGATTCACGAATATTGGACAAATCCCTGTACTACCCATCATTTCTATGCTCGCTGAAGCGCCGTGCGTTGACTCTCCCGTAGACACTAGTGCCAGAGTTCCCTCTAGTGTATATTTAGGAAACTCTGTGGCTTAAATGACATCATTACAAGTTTTCTGAAGGGAAAGCTCAAGTGATAAGTGATAAATCGAGCGACAACTTAGGAGTTGCCATGCTATAGGTGGCAGCTAAAAAATGTAAGTACAACGTTTTATCTGTGAATAGGAATGAGCGCTACAGACAGGCTGCCGACGTTTCGTCACGTGGGTCTGTTTTTGTCGAGTGCATCTCATCACCCCTGGAGTGTTAGATATTAAAATATTAGTCATCTCTCCGCGCGATATCTTTAGCACTAGATACGAGGAAGCAAGACTGCCCGAGGTAAAGCGTTTTGTCTTTTCTAGGCCGTAATCAAAGCAGCAGAAAGGAAAAACAAATATGGAGGCAGCCTTACGTAATAGGTGTCCAATGGTGGCTGGCAATCGCACGTCAATTTCCGTGCAGAGATTTTGATTTGATTGATACCTGGGGTTCAATGTCCCAAAACCACCACATAATTATGTGAGACGCCGTAGTGGAGAGCTCCGGAAATTTCGACCACCCGGGGTTCTTTAACGTGCACCCAAATCTGAGCACACGGGCCTACAGCATTTTCGCCTCTATTGGAAATGCAGCTGCCGAAGCCGGGATTCAATACGACGGCATGCGGGTCAGCAGCCGAGTACTTTAGCCGCGGCGGGAGTACTGGAGGGAACTTTGATTCTTTTTTGTTGTTGTTTTGTTATTGCTTTTGTTTCGCTTGGAAGAAGGAATTGTTGTTAAACTCGCGAGACGATATAACCTGGTCAGCTTCAAAGAATCCAGGTGATGAAATCGAAGCGCTGAACTTTCGCTGAACTTCGCCTTGGCGGGAAAATTGCAAGCGCGGAGCAGTCGCTCAGACAAAAACGACGTTTTGTTAACAATGGCTCAAACGAAAACGGCCTTGTTTACAAAAAAGAAATTTTATTCGTCTTGTGACAAAGCGACTGCAGGCCACTTGGAGCCAAACGAACAAAACATAAGTGAAGACGTGTGCTACACCCATCATTCGCATGATTGCTGAAGTGCCCAACATCCCAGCTTCAATAGAGGAAAGCGTCATATTTCCATCTAACGCACTATTCTCACGGGGTGAGAGTAACACAACTACTTCAACCATAGAGTATTGTTACGACCGTCATAATTATTGACTTTTTTCGGCCTTTGTGAACGGGTCGAAAATATTTCGACGCATTCCAAGCGAGGGTGTGCTGTCAAGACGGGTTGGTTTTCTGTCAGCAAAGCGTGAAAAGGGGCCAGGACCCGTCTGCGCAAGGAAGGCACACGAGCCAAGAAAGGCCATTGTGTTTGCTGAGAGCAAGGCTTTTGAAGCAGACACGGAGGCAGCTGGGCCATTTTCGAGGTCACCGAGGATCTGGAAATCTCGGAACCAGCATGGTATTTGCAGTTCAGGCTGCAAGCTAAAGCCACATTGGTTGTGGCTCCATCTTGCGAGGACACGCGGAGCCCCGGGATATGCGCTGCTACGCCACAGCTTCTAGCAAACAACCAGGATGGAATGTGGGGGTGAAGAAAAGGATAATGCACTATGTTCTGCAGCCTTGCGGGAGCCCGCGTCAGCGACAAGGGATTAGTTGACTGTTCCTTTTCCCCTTTCTCCATATGGTCGGCTGAATGGGGTGGCATATTTTGAAGATATGCTGGCCCACCACTACATTGTCCTACCCAAAAAGTCAGGCAAGTTTGACACGTGTACTGGCAGCCGGTTTTTCGAACCTCACCCAGCTGCCGGAAGAGTCTTCGAAGCCAATATCATCGGCCGTGTGCAAAAACGTCGGTGCAGTGTGTTTGTGACCATATTTGGGCATCGTGTAGGTTGTGCCCTCTCCTCATGCATTGTGTGGTGTCTTTCCCCTCCTTCGTGGGTGGAGCATCTAGACCATGGAGCGCCGTATATCCTGAAGCCGTGGACAGTGCGCCCAGCGTTGGCAACGCGGCGCTATACAAACGGAAGACTCTTGTGTACTTTCAGCTCACAAGTTCTAAAGTTCTACAGTTCAACAGCTCTCCTGTACAGTTCTGATCACTTGATCACCTCCTTTCTAATTTTCACTTACTAACCATGTAAATAAATTGTTGTCGTTATTGCGAGCGCCTCATCTAACTTGTTCGACGATGGGTCCTTGGACGGAGGCCCGCTACCAAACTGAGACCCGCAGGACCCGGAGTCGCAACAGTATACATAGTAAACGTTTGCTATGTTACTCTATGCTTCAACACTACGACTCGTGCCACTAAACTACGAACGGTCCAGTCGTGTGACGAGCTCGTTGAGTCACTGGTATCACGTGCACGCGGGCACGTGCGCTCAAGGTTCCGCGTCCTGCCCCGCGCAGCTCGTGTCCCTTGTCATCACACGGATCGCGCTTTCACAGCAATGGCCGCGTGAGATGTAAGAGAGCGAGTCACGGAGGGATAAGGTTCAGCCTGTCTACCCTACGGATGGATGGATGGATGGATGCTATGAGCGTCCCCTTTATAACGGGGTGGTGACAAGTATGCCACCAGGCTCGACAAAAAAAAAAAAAATCTTTTTTCCCTTTTTTTTATGTTGGCCTAATGCCTCTACTTCGATAATTCTTATCTAATGGAAAAAAGGTAAATTTTCAGCTTAAGTTCTCTGCCATTTACGGCACACTGTCCATATTTTATTTTTCCAATATTTATTCTTGTCCTTTCTCTCTAATTTTCTGCCACCAATACTCTAACCGTCTCTTACTTATTTTTAACGTGCAACCTTTAACGTGCACCCAAAAGGCGGCTTTCCTTTGTTCCTATGCGCCGTGCGTGTCGTGTTGGCCGCGTCATACTTACGCTCGACAACACCATCGTTCCTCTTCTTTCGAGCGGCTTCGCCGCGCCGACGGTGTCAACATTCGAGACGCGTTGCGTATCGTACGTGGACGTAAGGGGTGATACAGTAAGCTACATGGGGCACCAACCTATCGGTAGATATCGGTTTCAGCTTGAATTATAGCAGTTTCAGCTTGAATTCTCCACGAGCACATACATACCTACATTAAGCTACGAGCCGTGTGGTTAGATTAGCTTTTTTTTTTAAGTAGACGATCATCAATTTCTCCCTTATTACTTTATTACTCCCCCTCCCCCTTTTCGTCGACAACCCCCATTCCACGGTTTCACGTCGACAAACTTCCTTGTGCCGTGTACGCGGCGCAGAAGATGCAAGGTCAGGGTCGCTGCGCCCCTACCGCCGACGGGTGGCGAAACATACTCAGAAAGTGTCCCATTGTATTCGCGATGGGTGAGAAAAGCGCGCGCAGGTGCAGTCTAGCCCGGCCGTGACACGGGATGACGATTGCCGGTAGTGACCGGCAGGGCCGTGGCACAACAGCAGTCGGTCGGTATCGGTCCAAACCGGGCTGATAACTGAGAGCTAGGTAGCGCTCTCTAGCCAGTGCATACAGTGTCGATATTGATAGTTAACGTGATGTCCCAGCAGACACTTCAACGTCCGTGCGTTGAGCACTATGAACCGTTCGGAACCCTGCGCTCTGCAGCTGTCAGCGACGACCCATCAGCGTCAGGTAAAATAGCCGATAGCAAGTGCACAAAGCATATCTTTTTTTTTTTTTTTCGGAAGCAGTACGTGTATGCGGCGCCTTTTGCGAAGTTCATCAACAGTTCTCACGCTTTGCCGAATAAGTATACGACAGCCGTATGTCGTGCATTACTGTGCGACGCGTATTCTGAGCTTTCACGGTTTCGTGTACCGCATAACTCTTCAATCATCAAATGTGCGCACGCTTTTTAGTGCTCCGGTTGTCTCATTTTAGCCCTGATAGACACTGGGTGCCAGGAGCATACAAACTATTTCAGTTTCATCAGTGCAGCCAACTTGTTGGCGTATACCGTTCGTTTAGTTTTACCCCGCCGCGGTGGTCTAGTGGTTAAGGTACTCGGCTGCTAACCCGCAGGTCGCGGGTTCGAATCCCGGCTGCATTTCCGATGGAGGCGGAAATGGTGTAGGCCCGTGTGCTCAGAATTGGGTGCAAGTTAAAGAACCCCAGGTGGTCGAAATTTCTGGAGCCCTCCACTATGGCGTCTCTCATAATCATATTGTGGTTTTGGGACGTTAAACCCCACATATCAATCAATCAAATCAACCGTTCGTTTAGTTGCTGCAGCATAACGAGATGGCAACGCTAACAGGCCAATATAGCGACAATTAAAAGCGAGGTGCTTGTTTAGGCTGATTGGCACTCCACTGAACTGCTAGGTAGAGCCGAAACGCCTGTTTACGGCACTTTATCGGTGCCGTTAACATAACGTTTTCATGGTGTTTCGAAATTATTGAAAAAGGTGTCTGAGAAGAGCTCGTTCTCTGTTATTAGCTTCGTGTACGCTTTTTGATACATCGAAACCGTTTAGCAATTTGTTTAGCAAGTGTTCTCCGTATCTAGTATCACAAAACTATCAACATAAACGGGTGCGTGCTACGAATTCAGTTGTGCCCATTTTCTTGTGTCTCGTTCCTGAAGTTAGCGCTCTCAGCAGTTCAATTAAAAGCTCCCGCGTATCAGGCAGAAAATCTCGAGTTATATAGCTAAAGGCGCGAATTGCGTGGTGCTTGTACTCTAGACATTACTATAAGAAGAAAGCGGCTCGTGCTAACCTTTCTTTAACTTATCGCTCTTCTCCCTGCAGGTTCCGAGGTTATCGTACACACAAACGGATGCACGGAAAGCAGTATCAACGGTAAGTGGCAGCTGAGCACTGCGACGGCTACTACGATATGCATGCAGTTCGAATTTCCGCTTTTTCTTTTTTTTTTGAGCATCTGCCTACCGCACTGTTTGCTACCACGTTATGGTTCGTCGCGGCCAGAAAACATGACAGAGCGTCGTCCCTGTTTTAGTAATCGCCGTCTCGAGTATCCCGAGATGAACTGAAGTGCAATGGACAGTTTGTGTGATTTGCGAGGCGGCTTGCCAGTAAGGCTTGTTTTCCAGCCAAAATTTTGTTCAGACCGCTTTTCTCGCTCATTGTGTTTTTTTTTTTTTACCTCTCTGAATTGCACCGAAGGCACGCGAGTACAACAAAATGTCAAAAAGGGGATAGGCGAAAAAAAAAAGAGAAAAAGGATAGCGAAAAAAAGCACTCTGCAAACGAGAATTCCAGCACAGTGACTTGTTGGGAGCGAGGTGGTTCATTCTTAACGTATATAGCTTGTCCGTTCCTCGTATTTACTTCGCGCCAAAAGCTAGGTTAAGAACGAGAGTTCTTGGTTGGCAAACAAACCTTACAGGAAAGCCGCCTTGCAGGTTGTTGCACGCTGTCTAATTTAGTGGTGCGCTTCCTTTCATGCACAAGTGATCCGCTTCTTCACCGAAACGTCTGCGGTGGAAAGATAGAAAGATGATAGAAAGATAGAAAGATTGAGGCGATGACGTTGCGAAAATAAAACTCAACAAAGAAAAATTCAAACTTGGTTGTCGGGGTAGAAAGATAGAAAGATTGAGACGATGATGACGTTGCGAAAGTAAAACTCAACAAAGAAAAAATTCAAACTTGGTTGTCGGAGTGGCATCCCTACGTTCGTGTTTCGCGACTGTGTAGGTGATAGAAGGACGATGCAGACACCTGTGTTTATTAGCACTGCCCGAATAGACAAGATTAGCTTGACTCAATCGGGCTGAACCTGCATTGGCCACAGCATAATGGATAAATTCCGGCTCCAATTTGATGCATAAGTTTGCCGGCCGCCATGTTTCTTTGTGTGTGTGTCCGCGCGTGCGAGCGCGATATAGAGAAAAAATATGGTGATAATTCGTGCAACTCTGTGATGGCAGTGCAAGCTGGGCATTGTGCACTTATTGTACACCCCTCTTTTTGCCAAAATGCCGAAGCGCTTACAATGACGATCGGCCTGCTTTGTGCGTTATGGCACCCATCGTTTTTTTTTTCTTTCTTTTCTTTTTAACCCCTGAGGCTGGCTGTGGGATCAATGCCAGGAGGTGGGTCTCGCTACCGTGACGTGAAGGGCAGATTTCAAGAGAGAGAGAGAGAAAGTGACATTAGGGGAGGAACGATGCCCTTTCATGAAGCCCAGTTTCGGCATATGTACGCACATAAACGCACGAACGTTTGAAAAACGAGCAGGGACGGCTCAACCCAAAAATATTGCGTGGCCTCGGGCCCGTCGCCTCGTTTAGCACCAATCATAACCTGAAGCGTCACCAGAAAAAAAAAACGACCACAAAAAAATGACGTGGCCATCTTTTCCCTCTCTCACTCCTGAAATCACGTTATGCAATCTGTGCTCTTCGTTCGGGCTCTCGTTCGGTTTTTTTTTCTTTTTGTTATTGGCTCAGAATTGATTTGACTAAACTCAGTTGCTGCATAAAATGAGACATACATGCGCGAAAGCTTACAACCACAATGCCTTTCGACTGTTGTAACGCGTAGAGGAATACAAGAAAAACTATAATTCGAATAGAACGCAAGAGTCGAATTCTATGAATGTAAAAGCATTTACGTTATCAAATTTGTTAATTATTCAGAGTTAAATTCAGGATTGATTGATTGATATGTGGGGTTTAACGTCCCAAAACCACTATATGATTATGAGAGACGCCGTAGTGGAGGACTCCGGAAATTTAGACCACCTGGGGTTCTTTAACGTGCACCCAAATCTGAGCACACGGGCCTACAACATTTCCGCCTCCATCGGAAATGCAGCCGCCGCAGCCGGGATTCGAACCCGCGCCCTGCGGGTCAGCAGCCGAGTACCTTAGCCACTAGACCACCGCGGCGGGGCGGTTAAATTCAGGAAAAAGCACTATAAGACGGGACAAAGTGAAAGAAAACAGAATAACCGTGTGTTTCTTCAGGCCCCAACATATGTACCCACTTTTGCAAGACAACTAAACCGTTGAAACGAGCACGCGCAGAACCAATGCTGTAGCTCATTTAATAGGAATAATCTCATTCGCAAGAAATTAAATTGAAGGTACGCTTACACATGCCTTACAGCATCTGTAAATATGAAAGGTTTCAGACACAAAGATTGCTCGTTCGTCGTGTTATTTCGAAATCGTAAAAAAGGTGCCTGGTAAGAGCTCGTGTACTCTGATATCTACTTCGCGTACGCTTTTCTAACACCGAAGAAGTTTAGCTACAATCGTTCCTTGTATCTGTTATCACCAAGCTATCATCGTCATAAGCTGGTATGTACGACATAAATCGGGTGAATTATCGCCACTGATGCCCTAACAGTGAGAGGGCAACTGTCAGGCTGATAAACGGCTGCGCAGCCTTTGAGTTATCATCACAGCATTGCAGTTCTTGCCCAAGAATTGTACCACGGGTGTAGAACCGAGGATGATAAGGCAAAAAATGGAGACCAAACTTGGTACGTTCTTACTACAGCCAAGTTCAGGCCATCTTCAGCTTCGCTACAGCCAAGTTCAGGCCATCTTCAGCTTCGCTACAGCCAAGTTCAGGCCATCTTCAGCTTCGCTACAGCCAAGTTCAGCCAATCTTCAGCTTCGCTATAGCCGAGTTCAGGTTATCTTCCGCATCGCTATAGCCGAGTTCAGGTTATCTTCAGCATCGCTACAGCCAAGTTCGGGCCATCTTCAGCCTCGCCACAGCCAAGTTTTACCTGGATACAGCAATAAGCATGAGACCGATTAGCTACGCTGTTTGTCGAGCTTTTCGTGGCTTAGTGACAAACATTGAGCCATTATTTTTTTTCTTTTCGCTTTAATAAATCACCATGGAATATGACTGACATGAACCATGGTGCAAACGTTATTGCCATTTGTGTTTGGATTATGCCGAGTGTTTTCTCACCTTATTACTATTATGGGAGACGTTTCCGTTGTTTCATAAGGACCAGCACTCATCGCGTTGCGATTTCGCAACAGCATGCGGACCAAGAAATAGCTCTGTAGAACGAGTTGTATACAAGCACTGTCCATATCTGTTTTCCCAGCGGTTCCCTCTGCACTGGTGGCAGAATCTTATCTCGGAGGCCACGCGTCTGCCAACGCAATGAGCCGGAAAGCATCTCGCAGTCAGAAACACCTAGTAACCAAGCTTTGGTTATTGCCCTTATGAAACATGTGCCGTTTTTAACAACCTGTGGAAACACAAATAACTAGCGTGTCGCGTTTTCTATCGGATCCAGTTTCCCTTTTATTCAGCCGCATTTTGTGACGAGACGATGCGCTTGACGTCATTAAGCTATACAAGATCTTGATTGGTTCGCATACGAAGGATGTCAGCTCTGATTTGTCCACAACCGCGTAAAGTGTTGTGGACAACACTTTATGGGGAGAGGGCGTGGCATGCACTCGGCTGACAGACGGCCTTTTAGGCACTAGGCAGACACACGAGAACGGGTGATATAGCTAAATAAACTCGATAAGATTTTAAATCTCATCCTTCAACAAGATACCTAAAAGATGCTTAGATACTACTCAGAAGGCGAGCACAGCCAGACATGGCGAAGAAGGGTCATGTTTTACCTCTCTACTACACTACCAACGCCCACAATCTCAAGAAAACTTGCCACGAAGTGCGCACTGCCAATGCGTTCGTGAATTGAGATGCTCCGTCTGGAGTTTCATTTGTCATCTTGTGAGAAAGAAAAAAAAGAAACGAATGCAGTCTGGTACGCGTCGCTACTTAAGCTGTCCGCATTGCCCCGGAGGCATGGAAATATATTTCACTTCTAGCGTTTACGCGCTTTCATTTTTCAAACGCGTGCAAGGAGGGGGAAGCGAGGGGCAGAGAGAGAGAGAGAGAGAGAAAGACCCACCGGGGAGCTTCACTTAGGTCGGCGCTTCCGCCATTCATTTGGTATCAGTGCCACTTGCAGTTGCCCCGCAGCTTTCATTCTCTGACAGAGGCCGCTGTGTGTGTGTGTGTGTGTGTGTGTGTGTGTGTGTGTGTGTGTGTGTGTGTGTGTGTGTGTGTGTGTGTGTGTGTGTGTGTTTCCTTTCCTCCTTTCGTATTTCTGGCATCTATCTAGCGAGAAGTATATACATAGTGGTGGCGACATCGGTGCGTGATAAGTTTAACTGTGGGTCTCTCCGTCCTCTTCCTATGTATACACGTCCTTGTCTTTGGGTCCTGGAATTTGGCCCGCCGGTTTGACGATCGCTTTCTGCGCACTTTTCGCGCACGATCGCGTGCGTGTGTGCGTGTTTTGTGTTTAAGACTATACCGTGCTGTCTCTCTTTAACCATTCCCTTTTGCGAACGCCACGTGTAGTTGAAATCGCTAGAGACAGAGAAAGAGAGAGAAACAGACTTCGTGAGCAGCGACACTCGGCTGCCGAAAAAAGCTGGACGGAGCGTACGCGCGTGTGTATGTGTGTACGTGTCGGCAACTCGTAAGGGTCAGCCTCGGCATTCCAGGACTGATAGATGGATAAAAGGAGGGGCGGGGGGAATTCCGGAGCTTTCTCTTCGGCTGCTGCTGTACTTCTTCCTTCTCCTGGGGAATTCCCCTTCCTCCTCCTCCTCCTCCTAATCGAGTCTTGCCGTGCCGCGAACTGCTCGCGCCGTTACTGCCAATGTGGCAATCGTAGCTAGTATGAGGGTGGAGGGGGTGGGGGCATATGAATGGCGTATCGAAATCATTCGGTGTGATATTGAAGTACAATATCGCACAGTTGTCTTGCACGCCTGTCTACCTCATTTACACGGCATTGTCGGTCTTTCGTTGCATTACTCGTAGGGCGTGCT